CAGAAGCTTCGTCAGGCCGAAGAAAGAGCCCAAAAGGCCGAGGTGCTCGCCAATAGGTTGAAACACGAGGCCAACGTAGCAGCAGCAGGATTCCCCGGAGATGCAGGTCAACGGTTGAGCGACCTCAAGCGGGCCGAATCCGAAGCCGCATCCCGGATGGGGAAACGGTCAACGGCGGGAATGCTCAAGGCTGTCTGCTCGACTGACCTGCTCTTCCTTATCGACGCGACGTCCTCAATGCGCCCATATATTGAGGCAGTCAAGGACCAAGTGAGGGCTATTGTCCGGGATGTTGAGGATTCTTTCTACAACGAAGCCCAGATCAGGATCGCCGTCGTCGGCTACAGGGACTCAGACCGGCCGAATGTTGAGTTTCTCGACTTTACAACTTCGGTTTCTGCTGTCCATTCCTTCTTAAAGCGGCTGACCACAAGAGGCGGAGGCGATCGATCTGAGGATGTCCTCGGCGGGCTTCGTCAGGCTCTTGACGCATCCTGGAAGCACTAGACGCGATGCATTATCCACATTGCCGATGCGCCGCCCCACGGCCGTACCCTACACGATTACCCTCGTGTTCTTGATTCCTATGCCATCCCTGGCAGTGAGCCACACGGCCTCGCCCACCAGTCCTTGTTGCCCCGAATGGTGAGCCTCCGCATAAACTACGTCTTGCTGCGAATCAACTCTAGCACGGATCGCATGGCCTACACCTTTCTTCAAGCTTACGGATTTGCGGCAGGTGATGGCGCCCTGCTACCTACTAATAAATATTCTAGTTATTTATTGCTTAAACGCGGACGGGGCGCTGGGGATGGCCTGTTATTCCGAGAGGCCGAACTGGGCACTACATTTGCAGAGCTACGAACCTTGGTAGCCAAAGCTGTTACCGCATCGGCTTCGCGTACTGCTACCCGCCACGTCAACCGACAGGACAACATAACACCGCGACGCGGCTCAGGGTTAGTGCCTATTATCGAGGCGTCGGAAGCTTCACAGCCGTCCATAATGTGCCACTCGATTCCTCTCCTCCTCAGTGGGACTCAGAGTCCTGGTTCGATGAGTCATTTATCCTCCACGGCTTCAGTTTGAAGGCTATCGTGCGCGGGGCCACAACGCTCGACAAAATGATGTCGACAGACGATAATATCGGCATGAGCGTGCTGCACCTTGTCGTCAAAAAGTGAAAGAACCCTTTCGCCCAGGGTTCGCCGCGTTTAGCCTTTTACGCAAGCACGATGGCCTCGACAAGCCCCTGCGTCGTCAAAACATCTAAGCGCACTGCCACAGACGAGCTCCCCCTCTTGGTCGAAGAGATGCGCTGTCGGGCCCTCGCCAAGTCATTCGCCCTCGAGTTTAATAGCTTGCTCCACAGAGAGCACACAATCGACTTCGTCGCCACAGCTTGCTTCAAGGGTCACTCAAAGTCAGCCGACGACGATTCCTGCATCTCGCTCAAACCTTTCATTGAAGGCATACGTCAAGTACAATGGCAATGCCGGTTTCTTTAACGAGAAAGACGACAGCCCGGCAAATCAAGCGGCGCAGGCGTTTTCTCACTTCACCTTTGAAAGGTCAAAGGGGAAATTCCTTGTCTGCGACCTCCAGGGCGCGGGCGAGTTCCTGACGGACCCCGTCGTTCACACGGCTGATGAGAACCGTTTCAAGTTGTCGCGCACCAATGTTGGGTTCGAGGGCATGAAGCTCTTCTTCATGTCGCATGAATGCAACGACGTATGCAGCCGGTTGGAACTGCGGAGCAGCAGGTCTACCATCAAGTCGGACACCCCCATCTTTCGCGAAACGTGGCCTCCCATGGCCGACGCCGTCTGCTGCCCCAACAAGATGTGCGAGCGCATCCTGCGGCGCAACGAGGCTAATTCGCTGGCGAGGTACCTCGGATATCATTGGTGCAAGAGATGATTGCCGCAGTTGGAAGCCTTCATGCTCAAGTGGGTATGCACCGAGGAGGGAGTCCCGGACCATGCCTTTGACGTCGATCTGTTCTTTTACGAGTCACAAGGTGAGCGCTTGCCCCGCAAGTGCCCGAGTCACCGTAATGTTGGCTCAATGACGGCAACGCGCGAGGAGATGGGAGCCTTTGGAGGTTTTGGTGTTGGTTCGTTGAGCGAATGGATGCCGGAGTTGAAGCACGTCGGCGCCATATCCAGCTCATTTGTGGCCGGGTTTTGGGACAGCCTGAGTTCCGCATCTTGATATATTCGTCACTTATACATACGTACATAGCCGCAAAGATAGAGCCATTGGACACCGAGTTTTAGACAAAGGAAACTATGACCAATATATGCCAATTAAAATTGCCCAGGATGTGTAAGAGGAGAACCTTTCCAACAAACCATCCCTTGAGCAGACAAATCTAAATCGACTTAGTTAAGACAACATATTTCAAACCCAAATTCACAGCTCCTGACCAAAGAAAAAACAAACTCATCAAGATGGAGTCCCATCTCCCGTCGCCTGAACCTCCTCCGTCCTTTGAAAAACCTCCAACGTATGCTCCCAGACCTTTTCCTGCGCCTTCTCCCTCAACACCTTCAAATTATTTTCATTCGGCGTACACTGACATTTATAATTAACCAAAAACAATCCTCCCCCTTCCGTAGACTTTCCCTTTTCCCCTTCCCATTCCACCACCCTTTCTTCTTCCCCTCCATATAACCCACTACAACACTGAAACAAAAACCTCTGTCCACAATCCTCCTCGCTCGTACCAAAGAATTTAATCAAAGGCTCAACGACCAACCAGATAAACCAACCTAACCAACTCCTCCTATCATCTAATCCTCTCCATACGTTTCCCGTAGAAACTATCCCCGGCCAAGAATGCAAAAAAGTTATATCCCTATTCTCCCTAGCCAGGACTTCCATACCTAGGGTATTCATAGCGACGTATTGAGTCTGAGCTTTATATCCCAGGAATCCACTGCCTTTTTCCCTAAGTTCTAAATCATTGACATCGGATATGGAAAATGGTTTTTCTAGTCCTCCTCCGAGAACACTTATTACCCTGCCTTTATACTGCTTCAACAAAGGCAATAACTCCCGTATGAATAGGATTCGAGAGTAATACTCCAAACTCTGTGCGACTTCCAGTCCTTCACCGGTTTCTTTTCTCGTTTTGCCGCCACCAAAGGGCGCGTATCCTGCTGTGAGGAATAAGAGGTCGATTCCGGTTTCTTTTGAAGAGATTGACGCAGAGATTCGTCTGACTTCGGAAAGAAGTGAGATTTCGCCTTGAAGGATAATTATTTCTGCTTTGGGGTTTAGGGGTTTTAACTCGGAGGAAATGAATGTCTGGGTGGTTTGGAGGGAAGAAGAACGACAGGTTAGGTAGATCCGAATGGGGGATTGAGAGGGTGCAGAGGCTGTGATGAGGGCTTTTAGGGTGGTTTTGCCTATTCCGTTTGTTGCGCCGATGAAGAGGGAGACGCGGGGGAGTTTTGAGGGGGAGGAGGTGAGGTGGGAGAGGGTGGAGAGGATTTGAGTGTGGGAGACCATTTTGAATGATTTTTTTGAGGATGAGGATGATGATAACAGAGAAAAAAAAGATAAGAATTTGAAAGATAAAGGAATCAGGTTAGTGATGGCTGGTTGTAAGAACCTTTTGTATGTGGTTTGTCGTTGCCGCCGCCGCCGCCGCACGTGATGTGGATAGGCAGCCAACCAACTCGGCAACATTTGCTCGGGAAACATATTTGACCGCACCTCCGAGTGTTATTTCTGCCTAATAATATTGAGAATGTCTCTTCGTACAATGCGGTTTGGCACCTCCCACAATGCTCATGCCAAAACATCGTTTAAAAAGGCATGTTTTTTATCTTTTATCCATTTTATTTTAAGAAAATCCCTTAAAATTATAATTTATGCCTTTCTATAATCAAAAACCTGTGTTTTCTTTTTTATAGAGGTTATTAAAATATGGAATGGCTTGCTGGAAAAATCTCATATTTTTAATCGGCTTAGGGTTATAGGTGTCAAAAATCCGACTGCAATAGCATTGTGTTACGCCCCAGGCATAATAACAAGGGTGGTTCGAGACGCGGGACGAGTCTCATCCAATCGTTTGACTAACCCACATGTTCACATCTAACCAATCAGAAGCTGCTCGCTGTGCTCGCTGCCAAGACCAGCGAGCAGAGTGAACAGGGTACAAAGGTACTTCAGAAATGTATGGTAGATAACTTCCTATAAGTAGGGGGAGTGCGCAGCACTCCCCATCCCAAGGAATCTGATTCCTCACGCAAGCAATATTAAGTTCATTTGTCTACAATCTACTCTCAGTAGCTCTTTGTTAGAACAACCTGTTGTTAACAGTGAACCCTCTGTCTGAGACGCTTGCCACAACCTTCGATTATCCTGTCAAGCTACCCTTTGGCGTACGGCCTTGCAGTCTGTACCCAAACTCGGTGAAGGTTGTAACACATTTTACGAAGAGACATCCTCATAACATTTCACTTAGAAAATGTATCAAAAGGAGAAGAAGCTCCTCGGGGACAAAAAGTTGTTACAACCTGCACCAGAGGTGGGTACAGACTGCAAGGCAGTACGCCAAAGGGTAGCTTGACAGGATAATCGAAGGTTGTGGCACGCGTCTCAGACAAGGGGTTCACTGTCAACAACAGGTTGTTCTAACAAAGAGCTACTACTGAGAGTAGATTGTAGACAAATGAACTGTATTGCTTGCGTGAGGAATCAGATTCCTCGGGATGGCCTACTTATAGGAAGTTATCTACCATACATTTCTGAAGTACCTTTGTACCTTGCTCAGTGTGCTCAGTGTGCTCAGTGGTTTTGCCACCGATCAGACTGAGCACTTCCTGATTGGTCGTATGGGGACTTGCGGGTCTTCTCATCCCTGGCCCAATGATTGGATGAGGTGTCTCGGCACCTCGGGAACCACCCAGTGGTCCCTGCACGGAAGTATTAAGCTTGGGACGTAACAAAAGTGCTAAACAAACAATGAAAAAAAAATATAAAAAAAATGGGAACTGTGAGGCTCGAACTCACGACCTCAGGATAACTTCCAATGTCAAATTGGATCATATTTTAGACAATATGAGACCTGCGCTCTTCCAACTGAGCCAAGCTCCCTTGTAAACTCCAACATTTGCTTCAAAGGCGTATTGAGAGGCACGTGTGGGCTTTGCCATTAAGTAGTGTAATAAATGAGAACAAAGCAAAAAAAAAATTGCAAACATTTCACGTTTCATATATGAAAAATCAATTGAACAAAGAAAACGAAAATATAAATTCTAGAAAAAAAGTTTTTGTTTCTGTAGGAAAAAAAATCCTTACCGTCTATTTTTATCCAAATCGCCTGTTAGAAAGCAAATCCCCAAAAAGAGACACCAAACTCACCTACTTATGAACCAAAGTTGAAAAACTCAATGAAGTCATTCTGCTGCTGCTGCTGCTGAGGTTGCTGCGCATCAAACAACCCAACACCCAACTGGTTCAACTGCTGTTGCTCCAGCTGCTGCTGACCAAAAAAGTTCTGCTCAGGATTAGCCGTCCCCAAGAAATTAAACGCATCCTCCTCATTAGCCTGCAGACCAAAAGTTTGCTGAGGAAGCATACTACCACTCTGATCACTCTGACCAGAGGCAGAGGAGGTAAACAACTGAGCTGTATAACTCTGGCCTTGAGCAACGTTCGGCTGGAAGAGTGCCTCTCCAGTATTAGTCAAGAACGGTTCATTGAGTTGCATTTGCTGCAGCTCAAGGCTTTGCTGTAGAAACGGAGAGAGGTTAGTTTGAAACTCAGACATGGTAGGATCCAACTGAGGTGCCTCAGCCGCGTTCCCAAAGTATCCTTGTTCTTGAAGCTGCGCAACATTCTGCTGTTGATTCTGTGGCGGAAGAAGAGTATTCTCGCCTCCAAATTCAGGAATCTGAACAGCAAAAGGAGGCTGCAGCTGAGCAGCCCCCATAGCCGAAGACTCACCTTGTTGTTGCTCAGCAGCAATCCCCTCAAAGATCAACCTAGTAAGTTTCCAATCCTCAAGCTCCTGTGCTCTCTCCTGCAGAGCGCTAGTCCAATGCTCAGCATTATTCTTGGTAACCTCGGACATGTACCACATAGTCTGCTGTTTGATGAGTTCAGGAAGCTCAAGTTGGCACTGCTCAACGGAAGGCTGGACGTACTCCCACTCACCGTTTTCGCGCATTGTGTTAATGGTCTTTTGACAGTCGTCGCATTCGACGTGCTCCATTATGCGATAGGTGATGTTGCCGGGTTGGTAGAGATCAAGACATTCTTCGCAGGAGCCTTGATGGAGCCCGCAGCACTCGTAGTCTGTGTTGGGGGATATGAGGAAATAGGGCTTGAAGTATGGGCGGCCGTCGGCGCTGATTTTGTTGTGGGGGCAGGCCCAGCCGTCGCGCCAGCCTTTGGGGCAGAGCATGGCGATGAGACATCCTTTGCACATTTTGTTAGTTTGTGGGGGGTTAAAATTTGTGTTGGTGGTTTTGATGGTATCTTATTGATACTATACCTCTTTACTTAGATTGAGTTGTTGCGAAGGCGGAGGTGATGTTTGTGTGTGTGTGTGTGTGTGTATGTGTGTTGATTTGATGCTTTCTGGAATGTTGATTATGAGAGGGGAGCAGTCAGGGATTTATAGGTGGGAGATGGTGGGTTGGATAGACTGAACAGTAGTCTTTGATGGTGTTGATACTGAGGTTGAAGTGTGGAAAGTATCTTTGTCTTTCTCATCCAACAATGGCATTATTTGATTTCTTTGTATTGAGAACAGCTCGGTGGTTCTTTGAAGAATCCAGTCCTTCTAGTACAAGAACAATGGATTGTCTGTGGTGTACGAAACAAAAAATCCTCGATGCTTTTTTAAAACACAAAGAGTCTGATAAAACAATAAACATATTTTGGTTCAAGTTATTTTGGGATTTTGGTGTTTTCTGTCCGAATCTCTCCACCCCAGTCACTGACACAGCAAAGAACAGAGATGGAGATAAAGTATGATTCTCATAATCACTCAAACATTGTATTGATACTTATTACAGAGATTTGGTGGCCGGGTGAGCAAGACCACCTACCAACGGAAAAGGAACCATCGAATGGAAGGGCCTTAAAACCCTTTTCATCAAGTGGATTCAACCAGATACATCAGCATTGTATTGATACTTATTGATAACTATTCACAACCCACTAATAATAGACCCAATCAACCCCTGCGTAAACTCCCACAACATACTTGAATCCTGCGCCCTCCACGCCGCCCCAGTCCAAAACGTGCTCTTCTGTCCCTGAAGCCCAAATAACTCCGCATAATACCCATTCTTTATATCATTGGCACTAACCTGCAAGTTATACGGTCCATGTGAATGCCAATCAAGAATCTCTGTCCTTCCATTACCAAACCCAGCCTTTCGCAAAAAGTTGTTGATGTCGTTCAAAACCACGGGTGCGACCAACTCCTTTGGTAGGAAAACCTGCGTGCCATATGTAACTGTCCGAACCTTGCCGGGAAAATCAGTGTTGCTGATTGAAAAGATTCCGGGCAGGCCTGCAAGGTTGAACTGGTTGACGTTGCTCGGCACTGCGTTGCGAAAGCTCGTGTTGTCAGGAAAGCTGGGGTTGGAGACTACCGCGGCGTAGTAGCCGACTCCTTTGAGCTTTGAGAATAGCTTTAGTTCTTGGAGTGTAAGATCCCATCCTAAGAGGTTATCGAGCGTGGGAGGCGCCGCCATGAGCAGCTTCTTGGCCTTGATTATCTTGAAAGAAAGACCCTGGCGGACCTTGACGGTAACGTCGGTGTTTCCACGTTGAACAAGAACAATATCTGCGTTGTAAAGAACCTTTGACCCCAAAATGCTTGCAGCCGAAGTGTACAAGTCGTTGGTGTCGGTTGTGCCAAGCAAGGTGTTTGTGGCAATGCTGTTGAGCAAGCTGAGGTTGACCGTAACCAACGCGTAGACGGTAGGGACCTTTGAGATATCCCATCCCTGGGTAAACAGGTTGAAAAAGAAAACGACGGGTTCAATCTCGTGCTTCTTTGCAAAGTCCCCAAAGGACATCAAAAGGTCTGCCGGGACCGGATTGGGAAGATAAACACCGGTGTTGAGATATGCGTAGTTGGTCAGGTAGAGCTGAATGTACTTGCCCAGGGCTGCCTGCAAGTTGGGGTTCGCCGTCGGATCATTAAGATATTGAGCGGTGGCGATATTAACGGTCGAGGAGTTGAGGCCAGGGGTGTCGTAGGAAATGGGCGCCATAGTGACCCCGAGCCTTGTGGCATATGTGGTGACGATGGGGGTGTTATGGAAGGCTTGAACGCCGACATTGATTTTTCCATTGGTAGCTGGGTCTGTGTAGGTTTCTGCGTGTCCTCCCAGATCAGACTGCTTCTCAACGACGACCACGTTTTTACCCTGGTCCGTCAGTTGGATCGCGGCATATGTGCCAGAAGAACCGCCTCCAATGATGACTACATCAGTGTTGATGATGGACTGCGCAACCACCAACTGAGAGGTGGCTGCCAGAGAGACGAGGAGGGTTTGGGATTTGCGAAAGAGCATGGCCGTGGAGTTGAAGATTGAAGCTCAAGTCGGATGATGCTGGAAAGACTCTGATGGGATAGAGGTAGACATAGCTATGTCCTTTATATATCTCTTTTGTCCGGATGATACCGATGGTGGTTGGTAAGACCTCTTCATGAATATTGTTACTTCGCTGCAAGTTCGTGATATTGTGGTGGCACAGAATCCTTTTCGGGGTGAGCGGCTCTTCCAAGGCTTATAGTTGATCGGCGGGTGAGAGGCGCATGAGAACCTCGCTTCCTAAATGGGAATAAAGCTTCGGATACTAGCAATGAGGGGTTTTTGGGAAGTTTATGATTTTTCTACTTGTACTTTTCATTCATAGCTTGGCAAACAATGAAATTAGCTTAAATGAATAGAGGTTATGAGTTGCAGACAACATATGTTGTGCTGTCTAGAGATGTAAGGTACCTGTGTTTTGTGGCACAAGAAGCTTGATGTTGCACGAATTTCCACGTGCAGCTGTAGGTACTGTGCATTGCCAATCCATGTATGAATACGGCGTGGTGAATCCCGGTGTCGGGTATCCGCCCCGGCAAGGTTCCGTCACCTCCGCTCGGACTGTTAACTCTGTTTGTTGGTAAGTTGGGGCGTAAAGTAGACAAATACTGTTACCATGGAATACTATATGTAAAAACAGAATTTATACATGAGAGATAATGGTTGAAAAATGTCTCCCGATATGGAATAATGCTTAATCCAACAGCATCTTACCGGGATTGGGTTATGCGACAATCCCCCCCTTGGGGCTCCCTGGGATCATGCCAAAACCCTATCAGACTTGGATCTCATTCGTGTAACACAAAAGAGACTATTCTCCCCTTCCTTTCCGCGCCTAGCCGTCCCACACAGTCAACAGTGTCATTCATTCTGTTGCTCCTTATCCTCCAGCTCTCGTGTCTTTTTCTCGATTATCTGTGCAATATCGTCCTCCATCCCTAGATACTTTGCGAGTTCACCCAAGGTCACGCCGTGTGGAAAACGTGCATAAAAATTGCGGATATCCCTGGTAAGCTCCTTTTTCAAAATACCCCCCCAAAATGTTCCAACCCACAGAGTCGATACTTTCTTGCGACGTCCATCATCACAGATAAAGGTGCTTATTTGTATTCCCACATATCTATCACCCCATTCATCGCCATCACTATATGTCTTCCATTCAAGAATAATCCTCGGTTCCGCTCCATGGACTAAAAAAGGCTTTGAAAATTGTCCTTTTGGAATTGTTCTCGTCTTTCTGCATATCGAAAATCTCCCCAGATTTTATAGTTGTATGCAGAATTCTCATCCATGCTGATCCCTTGCTGCCGTCCCTCGAAGTGATATCATAGTTTGGGTCACATCCACATCTTAATAACAATAGTAAACCCGCAACAGACTCAGCGTATTCCCGCTTATCCGTACCGCGGCAGAGAAGTGAAGCCTTCACAAACTTCTCATTATTCCAATGAGTTCGTACTTGAAGGCCACATGTAAACATATCATAGCCCATCAAGTATGAGAGCGAAAATAATGAGATGAGTCCGTCCCCGGTGA